CAGATCTAGTGTTTTACCCTTTGCAAAACTAGTGTTTACATCATCCAGTTTAGCCAGGGACAGGTGTGCCATACTCTCCCTTACCCCTCATCTGACCCCTCCCCAGAGAACTAGAATCAATAACTAAAAGGTAAATGAAAGCAGATGTTAAGAACCTGCATGAGAAATCCTCCCCACTCTCTATGTGCTCCTTCTCCTGTGTCCTCACCTCAATAAACAGCAACCCCATTTATAAAGCTATGCCAGGCAGAAATCTACAAGTCATCCTTGATTTCTTCTTTACCTTCCACACCAACAATCTGATTGTCTCATCAATCACTTCCATCTTCTTTCTACACACACACACACCCTTCATCTGAAACACCATCACTTCCAGCCTGCATTACTACAACAACCTCCTAAATAGTCTCTGCCTATGTCACTCCAGCCCTCCAATTCACTCCTCAAACAGGTTGAAAGAGATACTCTTCTAAAATGCACAAAGGATCATGACCCCCTCACCTCAAAATGAAGTCCAAACTACTCAACCTGGGCAACAAGACCCTTTCACAATCTGGCCTCTACTCTGCCTACCTTCCCAGTCTCATCTCAACACATCCACCATCTCATACTTTATGCTTTACCCAGGAATCCTTGGAGAAATTCATTTAAACCCACTAGGTCTGCTTCCTCACCTACAGAATGAGAGTAGGAATACTGCATACCTTTCAGAGTGATTATAGGAAGAAATTGGTTAACACGTTAAATGCTTATAATAATATTTGGTAGATACAGTAAGTGGCCAAAAATCTCACCTGTCACCACCACCATTTTTAGACTTGCTATTACTTCTGCCTAGAACAGTTTTATCTGTGTCTCCTTGACTCCCCAAATCTCTTCCTAGCTTATATCTATCTCTTTCTTGAGGTCTGAGCTTAGCCAACTTAGAATTAGAGGACGACTTCCTTGACCCTCCAGGGATGGGTCAGTCTTCATTCCTTCGTGTTCTCATGGTGTTTGTCCCTATCACAACACTTCTCACACTGCCTGCCTCTTTGCCTGTCTTCTCCACTAGGCTATATACACCCAAACTCCCAAGCTTAGCACAATGCATGCAAGATGCTTAATAATTGTTTGGTGAATGGAAAGTTCTCCAATAATGATGTGCCCAATGGAACAGAATCTAAACACGTAGCCAATTCAAATACTGGCCAGGTAGCTGGCTGGTCTACATGTCTTGAAAGTTCCTCTACTGTAAGATTCTATCCAATAAACAATTCAACACACTCTGACTTCATTATCACACCCAGGAGTTTGGACTTAAATATACAGGCAATATTTGGCCACCAGATTTTTAAGGAAAATTCAACTTGCTCAGATTTGTTCATTGTCCTATTATTACCCATCTCCAGAACACCTCCCACCCCAACCACTGTTGGTTTCAAGACAAAATTCCAACTACCCTTCATAAATACCACATTCTACCCCTACCCCTCCAAATACACACACACACACACAAATAGTCACGCCAAAGTGAATTCTTAAGGGCTAAATGCATTTAACTCCATCTTAACCATCTACAAGCAATGAGGATACATACATAAACACCTTCTAGGAACCCAAAGGCTAATCCCTCTTGTGTGCCTTTACGGAAAAAGGAGGGCACAGAGAAGAAGCATTTCATAAAGGTAATCCACTTAATCATTCTCTGAGTAGTTTGATCAGTTTGATCCGAGCTGCTGTCATAGCACTGCTATTCTTAATGACTACAGCCCCAAATGCCCAAACCCTACAGTCAGAGGGCAGGTGCAAACAAGATGAGGGTGGAGAGTCCTCTGAGTTCTATTTCAAGGGTAGGTGGTCTCTTTCAAAGACACAGAAGGGACAAGCAGGTATCTCCAAAAAGGCTTCAGTGATAAGGAAAGTCAATCTACACAGTGGGGATAAAAGGGAGAGAAAATTTAATCACAGGCACAACCAGGGCTGGTCTCCTGTTCTGGGGCTGCATGCCACACCCTAATGCGGAAGAAGACTGATAATCATTTTGCATTTACAGAGCACCCTGAGGTGTTTTAATGCACTAAGGGAGGCACTAACAGTGCCACTCTACAAGTCACAAAAGGACAAATACTATACAATACCAACTTACCTGAAGTATCTAGAGTATTCAAATTCATACAGACAAAAAAGAATGGTGGTTGCTAGGGGCTGCAGGGAGGGGAACAGGAGTTAGTGTTTAATGGGGACAATTTCAGCTGGGAAGGACAAGAGTTCTGGACAAGGATGGGGGTGATGGCTGCACAACAACGTGAACACATTTAATGCCACAGAACTGTACATTTTAAAAAGAATAAAATGGTAAGTAAGTTTCATCTTATATATTTTCACAGGCATTTCTCTAAGTACCCATTCAACCCTGTGAGAGTATACAGATAAGGAAACTCAGAGAGCAACAATGAGTGGCTTAGTTTATGCTGCTACATCAAATCCCCTGCCCATGAAAGGTGTCCCATCCTCACCCCTTGTTAAGTTGGTGATCGAAGGCAAGCGCCCTAACTTTGCTGCATCTCAATTCTCAATTAGAGTGGTAAAAAGATATAAACCAAAGTCTGCGAACTCTCTCACAGAACTGGATCAGAAATGAAATCAGATAATGGTTACAGAAGAGTACTATAAACCATTAAATAAAGTAGTATACAATAAAAGTGATGGACTAACAAGAACTGCTACACCTGTGCACAAAACCTGGTCTTTTAATGCTAAACCTGAGGCAAGGATAGAGTAGCTGGAACTAACCAACTTCCTTGCGGTTTCAATTTTCTCAGGATTCCTGGTTTCAAGGCCTTAAGTAGTTTTAAGCAGTTCAGTGCCCTTTCAAAAGGTGACAAAGTATGGTAGAAATAAAAATATTACTGGACTAGGAGGCAGAAGGCTGGGATTCTAGTTCTGATTCTGCCACTAAGGCAGTCTGCATTAAGACAACTTCTTCCCCTTTCCAAGGTTCAGTTAATAAGAGGGGAAAGGCAGATTAAAAAGTTGGGACCAGAAGGTCTGTAAGATCTCTTCTAGCTCCTACATAACACAAACTCCTAAGTCCAGAATCTTGGCAAGGGGGGTGGGAGGGCACAGCAGAATTCCAGACTCCAAAGAACTAAAGCAATCATCAGGAAACACCTCAAGACCGGGCCAAGGAACTTCCCTGCCTGTTCAGACACTCCCCACACCGGAGATCAAATACACTGGGAAAACTAGAACTTGCCAAAGTTAATTTTAGTTTGCTATTACTGTAACTCTGGGCTTTATCTTAAAATGAGAGAAATACAACTCTTTGAAGGCAGGGAATTGAAGCAGTTGACTTGAGCCACTTGCTGCTCCCCAACCCCCAACTAGAAGGCATAAATCTAAACACTCTATAGAGAACACGCAAAGTTTGGGAGGAGGAACATGCCAAAAGCAAAATAAAGGATGTACTTCACTGTTTATGACTTAAGCTGTTCTTGAGCGAAAACCCCAGAGAACTTGAGTTTAGCTTGAGACCTGGAGTCCCCTGCATCCAAAAAAGTCATACTTAACTTCCTTTCCCTTGGACCTCCTACAGCCCCAGAATAAACTATTTCACCCATAGTATAGTGGACATTGGTTCAGGAGTTAGGGAGAACGGAGTTACGTCTTTAACTGTGTGACCCAAACGTAACTCAAAATCCTCTCTGCATTAAGAGATTACACAAGTTTACACTAACAGATAAATAACAGGTATTAGCACCATGGCTTTACAATTCTGTGTGTGTGACTTGGAGCAAATTATTTAACCTCTCTGTGACTTGATTTCTAAATGGGGATAACCCCAGAAGGCCATCGTGAACATTAAATGAAACAAGGCTTATGAAATTCCTGAGCCAAAATCCATTAAAAGCTACCTGTTGGTATTAAACACTTCTCTCACATCTTATTAGTTCCCTCCCTGAATCCACAACCAGCGAGGCTTTCTCCCACTTCACGGAGGAGCAAACTAAGGCTCCGCTGCGAAGGTGGCCGCGTAAAGTGCACAACACCGCCCCAACTCGAGGGCCTGTTCCTCCTCTCCAAGCCCAAGGCGTGCGAGCCCGGGGCCGGCAGAGGTGAGGGCCGAGGAGGCGCTCGGGTCGGTGGAGAGAGAAGCAGGACCAGTTTTTCGCGCCTCGAGGAGCCCGCAGACCCAGCCCGGGACGGGGAGCCGGAAAAAGCCTGGGCCCGGCCCGCCCGAGGCCTCCCTGGCGCGGCCTCCGCTCCTCTCCCACCCCCCCCCTCGCCGGGCGGGGCGAGGCGGGGCGCGAGCACAAAAGACTCCAACTTCCGAGCGGGCGCGGGCCCACCACGCGAACTCCTGGCCCAGGCCCGGCCCGGAACGGGAGGAGGGAGCGGGCAGGGAAAGCCAGGGCGGCCCGGAGGCGGAGCGGATGGGTCGGGCCGGGTACCCAGGGCGGCTGGCCCGGGTTTGAGGGAGGTGCGGGGGGAGGGGGCCGGAGTTACTCAGGTTCCCGGGACTCCCAGAATGGCCGAAAAAATAGTTTCTAAATATAGGCAGTGGCCCGCGCGAAGAGGTGGGTGACCGAAAAGGAACAAGGAACACCCCCTCGCACCCCTAAAGAGACGCCCGGGGCCCCCACTCACCCGCACCGAGAGGTCTGGAGGAAGCCGCGCGGCGCAGAAGGAGGCGGTGCCGCCGCACTCGGGGGCGGAAGGGAGGGAAAGAGGGAGGAAGAAGGCGGCCCCGACCGCGGCGTGAGGAGCTGAACACAAGCGCGGGAGTCGCTCCAGCTGCCGCGAGCGCCCCCTCAGCTTCTCTCGGCCCACCCAGTGCCGCGCCACTCGCGCGCCCCGCCGCACTGACAGCCGCGCGGGCCCAGCACCCACGAGTCCTCCCCTCGGCCCGCACCACTGAGGCGCGCAGGAGTGGGGGCGCCCAGAGCGGCTTCCCTCTGCTCGGCCCCGCCCGCCTTTCCGGCCTCGGCCCCAGGTCCTCCCTCCCCCTCCCCCTCACCCGCCTCCGTCTCCAAGAAGGACACAGGGACACAAGCGCCTGGAGTCCGCAGCCCCGCCCCTACACAGCCCGGCTCTCCGGGCGCGTGGGCTCTCCCCACACCCTAAGCCAGGCTTAGGAAAGGTCCAGAGCTTAGGCGGGGAGAATGGAGAGGCGGGGTCGGGGCAGGGCCTGGCGGGGAGGAGGGACTGAGGCGAGAGGCGGGGCTAAGGGCGGGAAGAGAGACTAGCTTACGCCAGCCTGGAGCGGGGGACTGGGCGGGGCGGGGCGGAGTGAGAGGGCAGCAACGCCGGGAAGAGGAGCGCGAGACCAGCGTGGAAGGTGTTGGAGGCCCTGCGGAGCCGAGAGCCAGGGCCGCGCTTGAAAGGAGGGGCCGTAGGCGGAGCTCCAGGGAGGAAGAGCCAAGCTGGAGAGAGGCCTGGGGCAGGCAGGGCTGAAGAGAAGCCCAGAAGGGAGGAAAGATTGAAGCGGGGCTGAAGGAGGCGGGCCCGGAAGCTGAGCAGGAAGGAGGCGGCCGAGAAGTGACCACGCTGGGGAGGAGCCGGGGAGCGGCCGACAGAAAGAGGATCCCGCAGGTGGTGCTGGGGCGGGCGGGGCCTGGGGTCGAGCCCCAAACAAATCTGGGGGCGATGCCCGAGGTAAATGGAAGGGACGTCGTAGGAAGCAGCACCAGGTCCTACCACTTAGAAGGAACCAGGCTCGTGGGCCGGGCGAGCGTTGCTTCTCGCTGCCTAGGCAGGGACTGCGCAGATAGGCCGCCGTGAGCTTGGATCTGGGGGAAAAATGCTACTCCCACCTTTAGGAAAGGTTAAATTCAAGTACCTTTACTATTCTGCTGTGCAGGGAATGTTATAACTTGATGGAGATGATAGGCCTCACTTGTAAATATTTCTCCTGTCGGAAACTCTCACTTAAATCAGCGTTCCAGCCTGCACGGAACAGCCGGAGAGATCTTCCGAGAGCACACGAGGACTGCTGCCCTTCAGCCCTCAACTATAGACTTCCACGAAGGCTGGGAACCGTCCAGACAGCCTCTCCGTGCGTCATCCGACCTGCGGTTCCGTGGTTGTATTTTTCACAGTGCTTTCCCCAGAACCTGCCTAAGAGGCGACATTCCCAAGAACGGGGCAGAGTTTGAATTGATCCTGGGTCTGCCAGACCAGCAGTTAAAAGTCTGCTTGTGTTGTTCCATGACTTCTGTCTCTCAATTAAAAAGAAAGAAACCAAATGAAACAGGTGGTGACACTGAGACCAAAGCCAGGGACGTTCTTCCCCCAACTCTTAACAACTGGTTTCTTCTTATGCCTCAGTTATCTGATTGCAATACCACCTCAGGCCTTTCCTGAACTTCCTGCCAAAAGGTATTATCTAATTTGGCCTCGTGTTCATTTCCTTCATGGCTTTGTCATTTATCTGTTTTTGTGTATTTGTCAACCTCCCCTTCCAGAAAGTAAGTTCCATGAGACCAAGAATCTTTGACTGTTGTGTACATCTGTTACCAGTCCTAGTGCAATATCTGACATTGACCTAGTGTTCAATAAAATTTGAGTAAGTGAATCAACCAGTTAATGAATCTGGTCCCTGCCAACCTCCTCTGCTGCTCTGCTGTGTTTCAGACCACTCCCTGGCTCCTCTCCACCTCGTGTACCAGCTTTACCATGTTTGAATACACCACAGTCTCTCAGCACCCTCTGCTGTAGCATGTTCTGTACTTGGACTGCCCCTTTCCTTCTGCCTAGATGCCTCCTGTTCATCCTTCAACCCTCCACTAAGTAACCACCTCCTCTGAGAGACTTTCTCTTACCTCCAACCACCAGGCAACTTGAGCTGCTCACCCCTCTCTTTTTATGGCCTATGTTATAAAACTTGCCTATGCTGATGACATCCTTTGCCCTGCTGGCACAGAGAATTATGTTCATGACCTATAAGGTCCTGTATGGCCTGCCCCTTGCTATCCTCGGACCTTATCTCCTATTGTATTGCTCTTATCTCCTTTCACTTTGCTCCAGCCACATTGGATGCCTTCCTGTTCTTCTGACATGCCAAGCATACTACTAACCTCAGGGCCTTTGCACTTGCTGTTGTGTCTGCCTCAAATGCTCTCCTCCCAAATGTTGGCATAACATATCCTTCAAGTCTCTACTCAAATGTTACTTCCTCAGAGAGGCTTTCCCTGCCACCCCCTCCCCTTCCAGTAGCAATACCCAATTCCTCTGCACTTCCTCACACCATTTCCTGCTGGATTTTCTCCACAGCCTTTATCATCAACTGAAATATTATGTTTATTTATTGTCTCCCTCCTGTCCCCACGTTCCACTCAGTGTGATAATCACAAAGGATTTTGTCTGTTTTGCTCATTCCTCAGTACCTAGAAGTCCTCATTTGTTGAATATTTGTTGGATGAATGACTATGAACTGAACAGAGAAATGTTAGGAATACTCTGTGTTGTCCAAATGAATCCCTGAAGATTACAGTATGAAGGGAGATGTTTCTGAGGAAATATACTGGCAACACTAGCTAACATGGAACATTTACTAGTTGCCAGGCAATCTGCTAAGCATTTTCTAAGCTTATTTAATTCCCACAACAGCCCTATGAGGTAGATATATTATTGTGCAAATGAGGAAATTTTGACACAAAGGTTAGCTTTCCCAAGACCCCAAGTGGTGGAGTCCAGCTTTAGAGCCTGCATGTTGAATTACTATACTACTTCCTAATTATTAAGGACCACCATTGTTGATCCAATAAAGGTGAAGAATGAGGAAGAAACATTCTTTTGCCTTCAGGACAGTGTAGTATAGGGTATGGTGCCTAGAGTTGTAGCACAATTTTCTTAGCCATTGTATTAGGGTTCTCCAGAGAAACAACCAACAGGATATAGATAGATACATATATATAAGAAAATATTTATTTTAGGATTGGCTTACAGAGGCCAAGAAATATCTGCCATGTTCAAGCTAGAGAACCAGAAAAGCCAGTGTTGTAATTCAGTCCAAGTCCAAAAGCCCAAAAACCAGCACAACCAATATTCAAAGTCCTGGGCAAGAGAGGATGGCTGTCTCAGCTCAAGCAAAGAAAGGAATTCACCCTTCCTCCACCTTTGTGTTCTCTTCAGGTTTCAACAAAGTGCATGATTCCTACCTGCATTTGTGAGGGTGATCTTCTTTAATTAGTCTACTGATTCAAATGCTAGTCTTTTCCAGAAACACCCTCAAAAAACACAAATGTTCTACCAGCTATATGGGCATCTCCTAGCCCAGCCAAATTGACAAATAAAATGAACCAGCACAGCCACTGTGAGAGAAACCAGCCTGAGAACAAACCAACACATGAAGGAGGGCAGAATGAGAGAATACTGCAGAAAAAAATGAGCCAGAGACCTGATAAAGCCATACCTGAAGCTTGACCTACCTCTGGACTTTCTCATGAACCAATAATTCTTTATAGTTTGAGTTGGGGTTTTTGTAACTTAAAACAAAAACAGATTTCCTAATGAAACTGATGGGTAGGGTTCATCAGGTAGAGGTATTACTGCCTCACATCTTTATGGTATGTTTTGTTATAAAATGCTGAAGGGTATTCCAGACAAAGGGAATTGCAAATATGAAGACAATTATGTAAGAGCTAGCAGTTTCTGCAGTGCAAGGTATGAGTTGAGAAAGATGAGATATAAGAGGCAAGGTAGAATTAGTTACTGGAGGTACTAGCTTCTATACTTAATCTAGTAGACACTGGGAGTCATTGACAGGTTTTAAGCAGAAGTTGCTTTAAAATACTAAATTGTCAACATTGAAGGAACCTTTAAAAATAATTTGTTTCAACTTTGGGTTCTGTTTTATCCCCATTTCACAAATGAGGAAACGCGACATAGTCAATGTCTCACAAGTGTTAGGTAAAGAAACTTGGATTTGAACCCAGAGTCAGCTGAGCCCTAACGCAAGTATTCAACCACTTCCTCTCCCACCATTGGAATTAATTCTGTCCTCTGAGTTCACCCAGAATGGGTGAATCCTTCTTCAGAGATTTGACAATGATGTTTGTAGAACTACCTGAGCTGGGATTAGGAAGGAAGATGGATTTGAGGGAGAAGATATTAGAAGGACCCAACAGGTGTCTTCATCAGAGGCAAAGAATGAAGGCAGAGAGGAAGGCAGGTGAATGGAGAGGAAGGGGCAGATGAGTAAGAGGTAGTGGGGGAGAATTAATGGTACCTGGAGAAGGAGCAGATTGGAGATGAAGAGAAGGAAGAAGTCATTGAGGAAGACAGGCTTGTCATTAGAACAGGTTGCAAAATCAGATGCCTGCAGGGCCAAACGGGTACCATAAATGAGCAAAGTGGGTCAGGTGTAATATAATAGGGAATAATGGGGTCTGTAGCAAGAGGAGGCAGCTATTACTCATGTAGGAATATAGGCAACTAGTGTTGCCAGTTACCAAGTCTAAAAAAAACTCTAAATCCAAATTTTCATGTGAAATCATTCATTTCTTTAAATCCTGGCAACTATTTCAGATTTAAAAAGAAAAAAAGTACTCTGCTGGCCAAAAGACCCACAATCTTAAGCTTGGGTTGGCCTCTGAGCTGCTAGTTTGTGTCTTCTAACCAATTTGGGTCCAAACACCCCCTTCACTACTTATCAGCCATAAGCTCTTGTGCAAATTACTTCACCACTCAAATCCCACCTTCTTAACTACAAAATGAGGATAATTCATTCCTCACATCATAATTTGCTGTAACAATCTTAAAAAATAGGATAAATATATGTGAAGCACTTAGCACAGCACCTGACATAGAGCAGACACTCAAAATTATCAGTGTGAAAAGTACTCTTTCTCCTATAACCCATAAAATGATGAATGCTAAGAACTGGAAAGGCCTTCAAAGTCATCTCATCCAGGAGTTTTCAAACCTCTTAAGCTTTAGAGCCCTCTCTCTCTTTTAAGCTAGACCTTTCTTAGAAAGGCAATGTACAAAACAGTGGCTTTACTTCTGTACAGCAAAGGACACCATCAACAGAACAAAAAGGCACACTACAGTATGGGAGAATATATTTGTAAACGATATATCTGACAATGGGTTAACATCCAAAATATATATAAAGAACTCATATGCCTCAACACCCAAAAATCAAATAACCTGCAGGGCCAAACTGAGCATATGAACAGACAGTTCTCCAAAGAAAAAATTCAGATGGCCAACAGGCACATGAAAAGATGCTCCACATCACTAATTATCAGGGAAATGCAAATTAAAACCACAATGAGATATCACCTCACATCAGTTAGGATGGCCAGGATCGAAAAGACTAAGAAGAACAAATGCTGGCGAGGTTGTGGAGAAAGCGCAACCCTCCTACACTGCTGGTGGGAATGTAAATTAGTTCAACCATTGTGGAAAGCAGTATGGAGGTTCCTCAAAATACTACATATAGAAATACCATTTGACCCAGGAATTCCACTCCTGGAATTTACCCAAAGAAAACAATTCAGATTCAAAAAGACATATGCACCCCTATGTTTATCTCAGCACTATTTACAGTAGCCAAGAAATGGAAGCAACCTAAATGTCCATCAGTAGATGAATGGATAAAGAAGATGTGGTACATACACACAATGGAATACTATTCAGCCATAAGAAAGAAACAAATCCTACCATTTGCAACAACATGGATGGAGCTAGAAGATATGCTCAGTGAAATAAGTCAGGCAGAGAAAGACAAATACCAAATGATTTCCCTCATTTGTGGAGTATAACAATGAAACAAAAAATGAAGGACCAGAATAGCAGCAGACTCACAGACTCCAAGAAGGGACTAGCGGTTACCAAAGGGGAGGGGTGGGGAGGGAGGGAGAAGGGGATTGTGAGGTTTCATGATTGGTGCACATGGTGTTTGTGGGGTCAGAGGGAAGACAGTGTAGCTCAGAGAAGATAAATAGGGACTCTGTTGCATCTTACTACACTGATGGACCGTGACTGCAATGGGGTTTGGGGAGAGACTTGATAATATGGGTGAATGTAGTAACCACATTGTTTTTCATGTGAAACCTTCATAAGAGTGTGTATCAATAATACCTTAATAAAATAAATAAATAAACAGTGGCTTTAAATTAAAACCACAATGACATATCACCTCACACCACTTAAGGTGGCCAATATCCAAAAGACAAGAAACAACAAATGCTGGCGAGGATGCAGAGAAAGAGGAACCCTCCTACACTATTAAAGGGCATGTAAATTGGTTCAACCATTGTGGAAAGTATTATGGAGGTTCCACAAAAAACTAAAAATAGAAATACCATTTCACCCAGGAATTCCACTTCTAGGAATTCACCCAAAGAAAACAAGATACCTGGTTCGAAAAGACATATGCACCCCTATGCTTACCACTGCACTATTTACAATAGCCAAGATATGGAAGCAGCCTAAGTGTCTACTAATAGATGAATGGATAAAGAAGATGTGGTACATACACACCATGGAATGTTATTCAGCCGTAAGAAGAAAACAAATCCTACCATTTGCAACAACATGGTGAATCTAGAGGGCATTATGCTCAGT